TAGGAGGCTGGGTGGGCCCTAGAGAAGAGCTGGACTGGATAAAGTAGAAAGAAATCTGTTGGCCCCGCTGGGCGTCTAACGCCTCCTAAGGGTATACATACTTGCTACTTTTATGTTACAACTTTTTCCTGAATTCTAGTAACGAGACATCAACATATGTCATTTATAGGAGTTTGTGCGTGACTTATTAGACGGGTTCTGAACTGGATGAATGGATTTATCGACACCTTATATACATTAAAATCTCGGAACTAGGGCAATACAGCGCTATCCCTGATGTGCACAGTTTTCAGTTCACCGTTGCACACGCACTAGGGTTCTCAGGCTTCACTGGCTGTATCCTGGCAACGGATTTCCACACGGCAATTATATCAGTCTCACTGTAACTGCAGTACATATGAAGTCTTCTTTTCCGTGTCTAATTCCTTTCTTGGATTTTTTTCTAAATCACCTTCGACTTCCGACTACAGAACTCGACCCAATCCTTAACAATTAACTCAAACTACCTCCGTTGTCCCTCTGTGACCCCTCGGCACGGACCACGCCGAAAACACAGCCTCTCTATTGTTGAAAAGGTAAGTGTTATTTCTCCGTTGACTAACAGTGGACGTCCTATAGTTACGTGCGTAGTACGGGAATATATTTACCGAGTCTTTGACTACCAATTTGTCTATACGTGACAATATGCTTAGTTTTCTCCGTGTTTACGTCTAGACCAACCTCCTTACTAGCGTCAATTAGAGTTACGTGTATGTACACGTATATTGGATCAGGAAAGTAATTAAATTAATTGGATTCTGCTGTTCTCACTGCAGTAACTGTGAAGAGAGTGGTCCTCTGGCTTGCAATGCTGTGTAGTTCGGAGATAACTTCACGTTTCTGAGGGACATATCGTCTCCAATTTCAGGGTTGATGAATACGTTAAGTAGGAAACTTGCACAAGCAGATGACAAGCTTGCTAGTTTCTTGTTTGATTTATTCTTCGACTGCGAAGATGGACGCATAATGTCCAACCGAAACGTTACTCAAACTACACGCTGTTACAAGCGACTAGACAGTACTGTAATTAAATGTCCTTCCATGGCCGCTCTGTGGCACGCGTTCCATGGCTTGCAAACCACGTTTATCAGGATCTAATGTCGGGATTAGTTTCCGTGTTGCGTACTGGGCCCCGCAAGCAACCTTTTCAAAGAGGAAAGGAGACGGTTTTCCGAGGGGCAGACGAAATTAATTCTATGCTAGAAGAATAACCTTCTAAAGTAATTTTAGTATTTCATGTTGTTACGTATAAGGGGCAGGTGGGGAAAATAACCGTGGGTTCTTAATTTGATTGGGCTTATTGGGCGTCTATGTTACAATTCCTATAGCAGCCACACATTGAACTTCTTCTGGATAACGAATCTCTCGCTGTTGCCTGCACCTCAGACTGGTCTCTAGCCTCTTGAGTTCTCTATCTGGATCTCTGAATCTCGGATTGAACTAACTTCATTCGTAGGGCCGCGCCATAGCTCAAGCGGTTAGTCGCTGGCTTCCCACCGCGGCGGTCCGGGTTCGATCCCGGGTCTGGTCAAGTGGGATTTGTGGGGGACAAAGTAGCGCTGGAGCAGGTTTTCTCCGAGTACTTCGGTTTCCCCTGCCAATATTCATTCCACCAATTGCTCCACAATCACCCTCACCTATCATCTGGGGCTGGTACAATAGGCCAAATGTGGCCGCAGTACAAGGGACTTAGTTCCACCCCCCTAGAAATACAAAAAAAACTCCATTCGGACCGAATATAGAACACCCAGTCGGACAGTTGATTGTTCTCTGTTATTCTGTTTACACGAAACGTGTTACAATTTCCGGGCAATGCTTTGATTTATAGAAGCGTATTCGTTGCAACGGAAACTTGTTTCAGCTAGCAGTTGCCTAGCAGCAGACGTCTCTGCTGTGCTTCTCTGACTGCACACTTCCGGCATTCAGGCGTCATGTCATAATATTAATATTTGGAGTTTTTTCTTTTTTCAATTTTGATTTTATTTTCAACAAGTTCTACAGCAGTGGCATGCCTGGTTTGAGTCTCCAACATTTCTAGTACTTATGTCGCTTTTACGTATATGCGAGTGATGAAATCCATGGAGACTTTTACAGCGCCCCCGGGAGACAGACTGTCACGCCATGAATATTGCCGTCGGATGGGCTGTAAAATGTATTTCATTATGACATGAATACTTTATGACTTTCGACCTGGTAACGTGCTTAATGGATTGTAATCATACGCAGAACAATACTGGCTGCATTAAACGAAATGTGGAGACAGATTTTCTTGCCCTGCTTTCCGCTACTCTGTGAGCATGACAGCCAGGGATGCACGATATTGCTTAGGGACTCAATGTCACTCTCCTTTAGGAAGAGATCCGACGTGTGCGCAGTTCTCACTTGACAAGACATGATGCTGTAAGTCCAAAGTTGAAATATTTTCGGCATTTGTGTGGTCACAAGACTAATCTAAGTTAATACAGAATTTCAAATGGATAACCAGTCAATAATCATGGCGCAGGGTCCTCCTTGTCAAACTGATAGTAGCTAATTCTGCCCTGAATTTCGTCTTCTACGAACTCAAAACGAAATCCAGCGTTTGAAATACCGGACACTGAACGCCATTATGAGCCAGCTGTATCCACTACATTCCATAGCACCCTACTTGAATGCGTAAGCAAATATAAATGTAATTCATTGCTAAACTTTTTTTTTTATTGCTAGTGGGGTGAGACTAAGTCCTTTGCACTGCGGCCATTTCTGGCCTATTGTACCAGCCTCAGATGATAGGTGAGGGTGATTGTGAAGCAATTGGTGGAATGAAGTTTGGCAGGGGAGGCCGTAGTACTCGGAGAAAACCTGCCCCAGCGCCACTTTGTCCACCACAAATCCCACAATTACTAAACTAAGAAACATGCATTCTGCAATGGTATGCTAGTACTGAATTCAAAAGCTGTTACTCTCTCGCCTTCTTTCCAACTCAACAATTCTCCAATTGTTTTTTAAGGGTGAGTCAGATCTCTCGCTGGTCACAGTAGCCGCGCGGTCTAAGGAATGAACCGTCTTCACTCGCTCGAGCGCTGGGATCGTGGGATCGGATCCCACTCAAAGCACGGATGTCTATATGCATTTATTCTGTGTTTGTGTTGTTCTGTGTGTAGGTAACGGCCTTGCGACGGGCTCATCACTCGCCCAAGGAGTCCTACCGACTGTGTACAGATTGAGAAACCGAAAATTCCGCCAACAAGAGGACCGTAGAGCCATAGACAGACAGACAGATAGATAGATAGACAGATATGTCTCTTACTTTGAGACAAGAACGTAAAGTTTTAAAATCAAACGGTTCAGAGAAATGTTTGAACCCAAGAATTATGAAGTAATTTCCGCTACTACCTATATACATGTCACTTGTAGCTGAGTCTGCCAAAGAATTCTCGCTACGTGCAAGAGGAGAAGGCCTGTTCCCCCACTCTGCTACTCTAGACTGCCTGCTGGCGACAGTCGTCTAACGCTGTAGGGACGACAGAGTGTGGATCAGTAGGGGGATCGAAGGAAGGAAGAGTAGGGGAAGTGGGAGGACTCTCCGCCAGAATTCTTTACCAGGCTCGACTGTATTTCTGTGAAAGATTGCGATGGGTTTAGCAAGTAGTTGTCGGGGAAGAAACAAAGAAATAGTATCAATTTTGTTCAGTATCTTCGTGGAATACAAGTAGATTCTAAACCGTTCTGACGATGGTGTATAACACTTAGAATTACTGAGTTTTTGTANTAGATAGACAGATATGTCTCTTACTTTGAGACAAGAACGTAAAGTTACACGTGATTTAAAATCAAACGGTTCAGAGAAATGTTTGAACCCAAGAATTATGAAGTAATTTCCGCTACTACCTATATACATGTCACTTGTAGCTGAGTCTGCCAAAGAATTCTCGCTACGTGCAAGAGGAGAAGGCCTGTTCCCCCACTCTGCTACTCTAGACTGCCTGCTGGCGACAGTCGTCTAACGCTGTAGGGACGACAGAGTGTGGATCAGTAGGGGGATCGAAGGAAGGAAGAGTAGGGGAAGTGGGAGGACTCTCCGCCAGAATTCTTTACCAGGCTCGACTGTATTTCTGTGAAAGATTGCGATGGGTTTAGCAAGTAGTTGTCGGGGAAGAAACAAAGAAATAGTATCAATTTTGTTCAGTATCTTCGTGGAATACAAGTAGATTCTAAACCGTTCTGACGATGGTGTATAACACTTAGAATTACTGAGTTTTTGTACTCTGTCCATCATCCGATATTCTAAAAAGGAGAGAAAACGGAGTTTCGGAAACAGGATCTGTTTGCGTCCTCTGCTGTGGAGGGAGATATCTGCTCTTTTGGGTTCCTTAGAAAGCGCTAACATCAATCACTGCTCTTTGTATGGGACCCAACAGAGTAGGTGTCTCCCCCACTCACCTGAGGATACAAACAGATCCAGTTTCCGCAATGTTGTGTTCTCTAATTTTAGTATACCGGACGATGGACCAAGTCCAAAACCTAAGTAATTTTGGGGATTTTTCGAATACCCCCATTTGTAATACCGAGGATGGTCTTTGTAGCACATTCAGCGATGATTTCATTAACCACATTTTGGAGAGCCGAACCAGGGAACATGGAGTTTTGGGGGAGATATATTGTGATAATTGGAGGATGATGAAACTGCCGCAGGATCGTGTCCAATGGCGAGTTTTGTTTAATCACAGTTTTTTATCAGTTTTAATTAGACAGCTTTGTGACTGCGCGGTTTTCGAGGCGAATGCAGGGGCGTTCTAATTATTAAAGAAATAAAGAGAAATTGGCGATTAATTTACAGAAATGTTGGTGGCAATTAAGCGGCCTGCTTCTGTTTGCAGCCGATGTCGCCCATCCATACCACCAGCTGCTGTCTCCGCGTCTCTCCGAGCTGGCCCCCGGGGGACACAATACAGACTCGCCTCCTGCAGGTGTCCCGGCTATTACCTTGGCAGCGCCGCCTCCGGCGGCGGCAGCAGCAGCAGCGTTCATGGCATCACCCAGCATCCTGGGTGCTTTCCAACCGTACTCGCCTTTCCTGCCCATGATGGCGGACTCAAAAACACGTAAGAACATATAATCGTATATTGTCATGTGTATGGGTGGCTGTAGACAGGGTTTTCTTTGGTGAATGGATTTATTGATCACTTATACACACGACTCGGAACTACACTCAATTACAGCGCCACCGCTGGTCTCCACATTATATTATTCAGTGTTACACTCACACTAATGTTCTCAGTCTGCTACACTCCCGCTAGTCGTTTCCTGGTAACGGCTTCTAACAGTGGAGATTCTTCAACTTCCGCGCTCACGCCTTTGCCGGCTGACCGCCTTCTCTCAACTGAACAAAGCTCAAAGTCAAAGGCAAAGTTATTTTATGATTGGCGGTTTATTGCCAATCAGTTCATCTTGGCGTCAGGCCCGTTGAAGTCCACGAACAGAGCTCTTTATTTAACTGAGCCCTTGCTTTAATACTCCTTATGTAATATCCTCTCTGACGAGAACATGAATTGGTCTCTTATGAGTATTTTTCGCCTTTCGTCATGCGTATGTGTCTCAGTGCATGTTACTGAAAATTGTTCCTTTTGCATTATACACAAGTTCTCTGTCAATACAGGCGTTGCACAGCAGATCATGCCTATTTGAACTTTGCCTCGCTTATAACCCCTCGGCATGGACCATGTAGAATAACCCGCTTGTAACCGACCTGCCAACCCCAGCTTAATTTAATTTAGTAGCATGTTTTGATCCATGTAAATTAACATGTTCGGTTAGGTTTACTTGTAACCTACAGCAAATGGATGAGAGGTACATAGGCTATTTCTTGCCCTCAAGAAGGAGTTTTAGCCCAAACTCTCGAATGAAAAAGACAAAAGAAAAACGACTGGTCAACGCAGATGCGAAGTGAAAGAGGAAGGCTCTTTATAAAGTCACACAAAATTTTACTTTTCTGAATCCTTTGAGAATACAATATGTGACTGTTTTTAACCCATAACTTTTAAGATTGGTGGTCTCTCAGCCCAAGCCAAGCGTAATATTTGTCAAAGCTCCTGATAGGATTTACGTTAAGTTTTAGCGCCTAAATTTCCTGTAATACCTAAACGGGTTGGGGGAATACTCAATTAGTGTACTCCCATTTTTTTAAAATGACCAATCCTCGTAATTTAGGTAGCTGACTTGTTGACCGAGACTACTCCGAGAGTTTCGAGGAGAAGGCATTCTGCAGAAAGTCTTATTCCAGATCGCAAACCATTCGGACCCAAATTCAATCTAGTGCGGCAGTGGCGTCCACTAGGGACAAAAATGTCTTGTGGAACAAAGTGTGTGTGTGTGTGTGTTATAACAGGAGCTCCCACTTCCCTTCCTGAGCGAGACCCTGCCAAACGGCCTGAGAACTGAATCTTAGCTCTACCGGCGGAACTAGCTACACCACCGCTACCCCCTTATCAATCCTTCACACCTTTCAAAAAACTGTAAACTGATAGTAGCAGTTTACTGGCGCCCAAACTAAACCAATTACCCTAAAGATCAGAGGAGTGTAAGTAGGATAAATGAAGAAGGGTAAAGCCAGCTGTAGCCACCGCAGCCCGTAGCAGTCCAGCAGCCAGCGGCCGAAGACGACAGTAAAGTAAGTGGACACAACGAGCGAGCCGTTATAATACGACGATCAGCGTGTGGGGCAAGAAGTCTCACCGAGTGTGTAGAGTCCAGCACTGAGTGGGTCGGTTTGAAGAGCATGGCGCCCGACGTAGAGGCCCTTGGGGAGAGCGAGAAGAGCATGCCGCCAAACGTGTAGGCAAACGGTTACACGCTTCTCAACAATACTTCCATTGTTGGGCGTCAACTCGTTGCAGTGAAAACGTTTTTTAACTAATCGTACACGCTACATCCCGTTTCCGACAATTGCTCTATTGTTAAGTGAGTGTATGTTGTGGGCATTACCTGGCAACGGCTGTTTGTCTAGCTTTGAGCAAATATCCCACAATTTAATTCTGAGCATTGTGATATGGTCTAAATGCTTTAATATGCTACATTATTTTTTTAAGATGCCATGTCAGATTGAAAAGCTTAAATCAGAGACAGCCCGAAATTGCTTCCGAACGGAGCTACAGCCGTCGCGTTTTGTAGCTGAGCAAAAGCAAAGGGATGAATATATCATTATTAACTCTTCAATACTGAAGACTGACGCAGTATGTAGGCACGAAACGTCGACAACTTTGCCCACATGCACACGATGCAGCCACGCAAGAATTGTATCAACGGATAAAGACTGCGAAAACTTAATATCAGTTATCATTGACCAAACTATTAATTGGAACATTACAATCCGCAGCCAAAAAGGGAACACACATCCCGAGACACGATATACACGGAGCATAAGAGGAAANGCATTTGGAGTGTACTAATTGTGATACTGCAGATAGCAGTAATCGTCACATTGTAATTTGGGTGATTGTGAGAGCGGATGTGAAATAAAATTCGCTATATAAAATACGACGTGAAGTTATTTGTCGCGATATACGCCCAATAAGGGACAATATGCTACAGTATTTTTTAAGATGCCATGTCAGATTGAAAAGCTTAAATCACAGACAGCCCGAAATTACTTCCGAACGGAGTTACAGCCGTCGCGTTTTGTAGCTGAGGCAAAAGCAAAGGGAAGAATATATCATTATTAACTCTTCAATACTGAAGATTGAGGCACGAAACGTCCACAACTTTGCCCACATGCACACGTTGCAGCCACACAAGAATTGTATCAACGGATAAAGACTGCGAAAACTTAAAATCTGTTATCATTGACCAACCTATTAATTGGAACAGAGTTCTTTTGAGAGGCTGATAGTCGCTCAACCGATCAAGATATCCACGCCTTTTCATGGAATATCAAGCTATATTACAACGTTCACGAAATGCCAATATTATACTTTATACTGAGCCACTTAGATAAAGAAATAGCGCCGAACTCTCTCATTTTAAGATCAATTTCAATATTAGTCCATCGACGTTTAGTTCTATTAAGTGTGTTCTCCCTTCACATTTTACAAATAAAATTGTGTACGCATTTAAAACATGCCATGCGTGCTATATATCCCACCGCCTTGACATCGCTTAATACTGTTTAACAGATCCCATGCTGACACGAGCCCTGACCGGAGTCGGTACATGTGCCAATCCAAAGAGACCGCGCGGGGAGAAGAAGCCAATCCCAGAGGACCAGAAGGATGAGAAGTATTATGAGAGGCGGAAGAGGAACAACCAGGCAGCAAAAAAATCGAGAGACGCGAGGAAGATGAGGGAGGACCAGGTAAAGTCACGTGTTCCCGGTCGCCAAACCGTGGAGCAACACGAACATAGCAGAGAATGTGGGCTCGCCGAAATAGCTACCTAATAAGAGAAATGCATGAAATGAAAAGAAATAAGAGAAAGCTGATATTTCACTTGTCGTCTTTTTTGGATGTGACATTCTATCTCGCTCTCTCTCTCTCTCTCTCTCACACACACACACACACACACACACATACACACACACACAGATCGATGGCATCGGAAACTAGGAATTTTGGAGAATATTTTGGGCTTGTCATTCAAGGGCCCGAGCGAAGATTTCAAACACAATTTGGAAAGACCAGTCCAAACAGAATTTAGCGACATAATTCGCTTAGTTACAGCGACAATATCAAGCAATTCTGGCATAACGCTTCATAGTCACAATAATTTTGACTTAATATGATCAGAACAGTCACACTGATGTCGGAATGGGGCCCAAATCCTTGGAAAGTTATAAGAAGGCTCCATATGATATCATATCAACATTTTGGTAGGAGTAGGGTTAAAAAAGGTACAATTGCCCCTGTGCTTAAATAATCAAGCGCTACGCCATGAAGGCGTATGGGGGGCTGAACGTACAGATCCACGTTTTCTTAACCTCGGCATTAGTTTGAGGAGATTAGTCAGCTTCACGCACAAGCCGCTTTACTCCCGGGGAAAGAGCCCTTGGTGTCCACTGGCTAGGAAGTTGGGTGGGCCCCAGAGCTGGTCTGGACGTTAACAAAAGGATAGGCAAAGACGCATAATGAGGAACTTCAATATTTTAACACTTCACCAAATAATAGTGATAAAAACAAGGAGAATGAGTTGGGCGAGCCATGTAGCAAGCAAGCAAACATTGGAGATGTTAAATATGTAGGACATTCTAGCGAAGATTCTGAATGGAAGATAACCTGGGAGACCTAGTGTAGACAGAATATAATATTAGAATGGATCTCAGAAAAAAGAAATATGTTGGGATGTTTTGGACTGGCTCAGGACATGGTCCATTACCGAGCTCATTTCAAAGATACTTATGGCTCCATAGAACACGAGGTAAATCCTTGGTTATCCGAGTTACCAACCGTGTTTGAAAAAAGCTACTTTGACCCATACGAACGTTCTGAATAATTGTTTTTCTTTAAATAACACATACATTGCCGATCACAGAGGTCTAAGGCATGAACCGTCTTCTCACGCTCGAACGCCGGGATCGTGGGTTCGAATCCCACTTGAGACATGGGTGTATCAATGCGTTTATTCTGTGTTTGTGTTGTTCTGTGTGTAGGTAGCGGCCTTGTGACGAGCTGATCCCCCGTCCAAGGAGTCCTACCGACTGTGAATAGATTAAGAAACTGAAAAAGCGGCTAAGGTCCGCAAAATCTGTAGAACCACAGAGAGATAAACACGTGAAGTAATTTTGTTACAAAATATTAACTCTACTAAGTGATCAATGTTACTACGTTTGCATGTTTCATCCATCCGAACTGTACAGTTAGGAGCACAAGTGCGTGCGCAAAGCCAAGCAATCCAATATCACTAAATGCAATCTGCCCTGGTCAGAAAACTTTATAATTCGACCGTCACGTTAAACACCATTACAAGACTTCCAACGTGGATGGCATTAACGAAACTGTTTAGCGGCCATATTGTTTTAGAAGCCTGTATCACACAGGAATTGAATGACATTCACTTCGGCCTTCTTGCTAAATTGGCAAACTAACTCGGCTCGTTGATATTATACGCGATGTAAGGTAAAAAGATGAAGAAATACCTGTAATAGACCGTGAAGGTCAATAGAGTTGTGAGACTTCGAGACTCCTACATTTTCTCTAGACAGTCGGCTGAAAGATGGCGGTGAGGTTGTCTGCCTTACTTGCCGGCCGGCCGTCCTTTGCTCCCAGGAAGATACTGGTATGAGTTTCTGTTAGAGGTTGAGTCGCCCGCAATGTCATAGTGAGGCTGGAAGTGTTAGGTCAATTGAAAAATCTAATTCCCTCATTTTGAATCGAACCCGAACATCCCAGCTTTTAGTGCAGTGCCTCAACCAGCCACGTTACCGCGTGCTCCAATCCACACCGAATAACCCCATGGATCCATGAATAAATTAAGAACAGATTCAAGTCGAGCTGATCTGGCGCCAATGGAGGTTTTTGAGGTTAACTATGGCAGATTTCAAGCAATCTGTTCTAGTAGACAATAGGCACAGAAATGGAGCATTAAATTGTGTAATTATCGTTTAAAGCTCTGGATAATCTCACAATACTTCAGACTGACAAGGTACACACTCCATCATATAAGTTACTAGTGCAACATGCGTGTGAATTGAACGGGAAAGCTCACCGTTTGTTATGTAAGTTTCCATACTATTAACTTCCAACTTAACTTCTCACTCACTCATGAAGCTGAGCCCTTCTAGAGAAGCCCCAAATTGTGCAGCTACTCCAGAACTTCCCAGCATTTTATGGAACCCGAAGGTTCATTACCGTGCTCAAAAATGCCTTCCACTGGTCTCTGTCTTGAGCCGGATCAATCCAATCCATACCAACCCATTCTATATCCCTAAGATCCATTTTAATATCGTTCATCTACCTACGTCTTGGTCTTCCTAATGGTCTCTTTCTTTCTGGCTTTCCCATTAATATCCTATATGCAGTCCTCTTCGCCCCCTTCGTGCTACATGCCCTTCCCATATCATCTGCCTTGACTTCATCATTCCTATTATACTTGGAGAAGAGTACAAGTTATGAAGTTCCTCATTACGCAGTTTTCTCCAACCTCCGTCACTTTCTATCGTATTTATTTCGAATTCTACATGTCGACGTTTAATGTCATCTCCCACGGATAATACACACAAATAATTAAGCGGAAACTGCCTTTTTAATTTTAATCGTTTCTTGCATCCTGTTGTGTGTTTAATCAATAGTAGAGTGAATTTACCGACTACACAACACGTTTTTATTATCACCACATGTTTCGACCTTAAGAGGTCATCTTCAGGTGTATGAAGACGGCTGTATAATTACACGCGGTCACATTCACTTTTCACTCATTCGACCTTGTATCTTTTCCAGACTTACGCTCACCAATATGTCGAGTTCTTTCTATAAAACACAGGTTAAACTTATTATTATTCTAATTTAATTGTTAAAAGTTAAAACTGCCTTCTTTATAGGAGGGCTATATGGAAATTAACCTCCTGTGAGCTGTTAACAAAATAAGCAATAAGCAATGAGAACGAACATCAGGCTTATAAAACCTGACGGTGAGACGAGAGGGACTCGATTTGACGTCCTGAAGTTGCGTGACGCTTGTTCCAGATCGCTCTGCGGGCCACGATGCTGGAGCACGAGAACGCCCTGCTACGAGCACAGGTTATAACGCTGAAGGAGGAGATCCAGTCACTCAGGCACATGCTACTGCAGACCAAGACAGAGGAAATGGCTCAACAGCGACCCACGTGATCACCTGTGCTCGTCGAAATTTCAGTGTTATTGTATAGATCGATGTGCAGTTCGTGAGAATCTGAATGGCTGTGATTAACTTGTACATAATCAATTGAAGAGTGTGATGTTAATTACTTCTCCTTAAATTTATATCAGAAGATGGTGTATAAATGTTGTAGATGAGGCTGACGAGTGGTTGGGCAGGTTGACTACATGGAATATACGTCCTATATTATATTCCTCACTTCTTTCACCGTCAATTTTCTGTTTAAAATATTAGACGTGTATTTAATTAAAATACAGCCGTGGGATTTTACGAGTTATTTATACAGGAATGGTACCTAAATTGGAGCCGGGATAGCGTAGTCTGTACAGCGACTGGCTATGGGCTGGACGACCGAGGGTTTGAGTTCGACACCCGGTAGGGTCAAGAAATTTCACTTCTCTAATCGTCCAGACTGGCTCTGGGGTCCACCCAAGCTCTCTTCCTGGGGTAAAGCGGTCGTGGCGTGAAGCTGACCACTCAACTCCAATTAGTGCCGAGGTCAAGAAAATGTAGATCTATACATCCACTCCCCCATACGTCTTCATGGCGTGGTGCTTAATTAGTTAAGGACGGGGATATCTTTGCCTTACCTCTCATGACCGCTGGCCCAGATTCGAACCCGCGCTTCCGCTATCGAGTTTATCAGAATTATGTAAGTGAGAAAGATGTGAAGTCACGTGAACAATTGATGTAATCCGTGCTGTGGGTCTACTTAAACTGTGGAAACCTCATTTTACACAGTTAAGCCTAAATATGTAATTACTGAAAACAAAAGTTTCGACAAATCAAATGTTCAGGAAGGCAGAAATTGAAATATTTCTCAAACGAGGCATGAGAAACCAGGGTAATTAACAACTATTTTAACCCCACCGAGCTAAATAACTAACTTCATGGAGCTGAGCCCTTCTTGAGAAGCCGCCAATTATGGAGCTACTCCAGAACTTCCCAGCATTTTATGGAACCCGAAGGTTCATTTCCGTGTTCAAAAGTGCCCTCCACTGGTCCCTATCCTGAGCCAGATCAACCCAATCCATCCCATTCTCCGTAAGCGTTATTTTAATGTTTTCAACTCACATACTTCTTGGTCTTCCTAGTGGTCTCTTTCCTTCAGGCTTTTCCCACTAATTTCCTATACGCAGTCCTTTTCGCCCCATTCGTGCTACATGTCCTGCCAATCTTATTCTCCTTGGCTTCATCATTCTAATTTTATTTGGCGAAGAGTAAAAGTTATGAAGCTCCTCATTATGCAGTTTTCTCCAGCCTCCCGTCGCTTCATCTCTCTTCGGTCCAAATGTTCTCTTCTGCACAGGGATTGCTTTATCTTTAAATTTTTTATTCCTCCTAATGAATGTTTGATTCTTTAATAATTTACCTTCTGAATCTCGTATTGAGATCGTGAAAAAATCGATAAGCATCCCTGAATAGGGAAAGGTTGGGGTTGGAATATCATCTGTCTGTCTACCTGCATGTGTGTACCTTTCCCTAGCGTCAGATCGGTTGGACGTATTCTACTCATACTCGATGTTTAAGTTTATCCACCAGAGGTCGGTGCCCAGTGAATAAGGGTCCTTTAAAAGGCCCACAAAGAATACAGCGGCCTTATGTTAGAAAGAAACTCTGATGATTAGGTCTATAAGGTGCCCAAATATTTATGTAACTTGCATATGTTTTAGTCCGGTCTAGAAAAACGAGATTAGCGGCCGTGGGGATCCGTGTGCTGACCACGCGACACCCTCTATCCGCAGAAGTTGGCACTAACTTCGCCGTCAAACGGCCCGTCGCTCGGTCGGTATAATTCGCTTGCGGACTACAGGTCACGGGGTTTGTTTTGCATATATTTTAGCTTGTACAACAGATGACCGACAATGGCCTACTGAAAAACTGATTATGTTCTCATGGTAACGTAGTCAAGGTCAACTGTATTCGAGAACATGGCGCGATGTCACCGACTTCTTTGTATAAAGTTCTGAATCCTGGTTTTCGGAAAATGTTCCTCGTTTAGGATTATAGGCATGTTGCAAGTATAAGCGACCTCCGTAGTCTAGGAGTAACGTTCCCACTTCATGACTCAAGGTACGCGGGTTCAAACCCGGCGGAGGCCGTGGAATTTTTAAGGGCGGAAAAATTCAGGGAACAAGTACTCCGGGAGGGACTTTAAGCCGTGGGTCCCGTGTCGCAGATTTACGGTACGTAAAAGATCCTCATGTCTCTAGGAGACCTCTGAGCAAAATTAGGCAACAATTTCCCACCCAAGTAGTTTCCAATGTCT